TATGGTCCTGCGCCTCCCACATCAATTAACCCAATCAAGATAACCCCTCACAAGCATGGCCAGAGGCCCGTCTTCTAGTTGATTCTAGAGTCTGTCAAGTTGACAGTAACACTGACCATCAAAATGGTCATTCTCTTTCCCCAGACACAAACCTACCATTGTCTGGAAATCTCACAAGAAACCTAATCTAAGTTAAAGGGCATGTCTTAACCCCCTTGTGCAATCCTTGTGGCTCATGGTTTTATTTTATCAGATTATAATCCCACTCAAGCTCCTTGGAGCCACCCCATAATATCATCAAAAAGGACAAAATGAGGAAAACATTTCTTTGCGACCTCTGAGTTCTAACCCCAGAACCACCAAAAGTATACATGAGCTTACTTCAAGGACACTCCTTTGAGAGACCCACACCCATCCTCTTGGGGGCACCCTATTCTTCCTCCAATTTTTCTTTCTCCTTTTAATACATTTCAGCTCTGCTTCATACTGGCTCACCTTGAAATTCTTTTCTGCTTGGAGGTCCCTAAGAGCCTAAGGGAATTCAGACTCCTGGTAGCAGTCCTGCACTGTGTCACCTGCTGTACCACAGGTGACACAAATAGTAACATCTCTCAAATCCAGATATGACAATCATAAATACCTCTGCAGTCTGACAAACTAACAGCATGGAACTATCGCCACTTAAATACTTAACTATTGGTACATATTTGAATTTAAGAAATATTTTCACACTATATTTTTGATAGAAAGAAGTCTTTTCAAACCACTGCAGCTATTAGATGCTGAAGCAGTGAAGGACTATTGGAAATAATCAAGTGACAAAGACTTGAGCACATCCTACTGGATTATATGAGATCCAACACATGGGATATCCAACTTCAAACTGGATTCACGATTCTAGATCACCAGAGACATCAGCTGAAGGGAAAACTTTGGAAACTGATAGGATTTTGCCAGTGCCTGACTTCATCAGAGTAAATATAATGCTGTAAAAAAAAACCTAAGTGACTGAAGAAAAAAAGGCAGAGAAGTTTGGAAATCACACATGTGAACAGATGGGTGTCTGTCAGGTCCCTAGAGCTAAGACAGATACAACGAACTATAAAATATTTAATGAGTCCATAAACTATGTTTTAAATTTTTTTTAACTCAGAGTCTCAGCCTCGGTGGCTCTGATTTTACTGTGAAGAAGGGGGTGACTATAAACCGCTGGTTTCCTGCTTCCACATCCAGGATGCACGATGACAGGTACACACCACAGAACAGGCCACATTTTTAGGTGACTCAGACGCATGTTTACTTAAAAAAAATTAACATGCCAAGGTTTTTTTTTTTTTAAGTATGTTACTATATAAAATTTGCATTTAAAAAATGGCTTGTGGGACTAGAGAAACGGCTCAGCGTTAAGAGCACTGGCTGCTCTTGCAGAGGGCCTGGGTTGGATTCCCGGCACCCACATGGCAGCTAACAACTGTCTGTAACTCCAGTTCCAGGGCAATCCGACACTCTCCTCTGACCTCCTTGGGCATTGCACAACATGGGTGCATTTACACACATGCAGGTAATACACTCATACACACAAAAATAATAAATAATTTTTTTTTGGTCTTTTTGAGACAGGGTCTCCCGGTAGCCTCAGCTGTCCCGGAACTCAATTTTTAAATAAATGATTTGTTTAGTGGCACAAGGTGGTACATTTTTCCCACCTTAAATAATGTAAAATAGAATGCAATTATTTACCTTCAGAGTAGTGACTTTAGCTAGAAAGAGTATTATTTTAATTTTAAAGAGGCATAATCCATAAAAAGAATATTTAAGATAAGGTGGCTTAAAGCCCACATGTGTTGTGAGTAGACTTTAATGCCGTAAACAGCATCCAGGGCACAAACACAGTTCGACAGAGTGTGGGAAAATATGAAAGCTCAGCACAGAAGACAGCGTGAGGAGCCTAGAGTGTACAAGTCCCAGGACCCCGAGTGAGTCAGAGCTCTTCCACCTCATCTTTTCACCCGCTGACACAGTATAGACCCTTCCAGAACAACAGGGCTGCAGTGTCAGGGAACCCGGATGCTACACTCAGTGACACAGCCGGCCTAAGAGAGTTTAGACACAGCAGGTCATGCAGAGATGGAAGGAAAGAGTGTGAGAGACAATGACACAGCTGCCAGGTTCCCAGGGCTGTTTCTCCTCCACAGGGACAGGTGAGCCCCTCCCCAGTAAGTAGCAATCCCTAGACCCATGCCTGTTCCGTCACACCAGCCCATGTATCTGTCCGTCTGGAAATGAGTCCCAACTTCCGACATCACAGTCTCTGAGTTGGATGAGGTATTGTTTTCTAGTAGTTTTCACTCTGCAGTGTGGGACCAGTAACGGCGTGCACTGTGCGAAGCTGGGATTCTCCCATCTGGAATTCTGTTTCTATAGGGGAGTTAGTGTGAGGGTTCAGGTCAGAGGGTAACATGGGGGATTCCTAAGCAAAGTGAGCCTCCTTGACACGTTCTAACAATTTATTAAAGAAATGGGACTAACATCCCATACACCAATATCTCACAGAACTCTGTCCCAGGAAATAACCAAGAGTAATAGGCAGGCTGATAAAGTGCAGGGGGACCAGAACTCCACTTGCCCTAAGTATACTCGGCACACTCTCAACAACCATGTAAGAGTGGGGAAGTCAGCAACAGCATCCTCCCACCGCACAGCTGGAACGCAAGTTCGCAGCACCACCTCTGGTTTGGGATGTCTCCTGACCCACCCTGCTGGGGCAAGCCTGCACCTTGCAGGCTTTTCATTCCTACCTACCAGAGCTCTCCTAAGGCAGAAGTGCACTATGGACCTCAGCAGCAGGACGCGTCCTAACGGAGTCACTCAGCACATCCCAGTCTCCCTCCCCGCAGCCCTGACCTCATCCTGACAGTGGCCCAGCCTAGGCCAGCGCAGCACCCTGAGTCAGCTTCCTCCCGCCCCCATCACCCGGTGTCCGCTCGCTCGGCGCAGACACGCGCCCGCCCTGCACAGTCCCCCAGGGCTGCGCTTCACCCGGGACCAACCTCCATGCTCAGGTCTGCAAACCCCAGCGAAGAACAGGACTCGCCACACGCGGAACTTTGGGAAAGAAGCACGTGAGCAGAAGGAACAGGGAAGCTCAGTTCCGAAAGCTTTTGCTGTGACGTCACAGTAGCCGAGACTACATTTCCCACAAGTCTGCACGAGAGCGTTCCAGTTGCCTAAGGAAAGTGATTTGTACTCAGTTCTTGGTTTTCTTGGCTGTGTGGAGATGAGGATGGGTGGAAACAAGCAGGCTGTGCACACGAGACAATCACGGGGAGTCAGGATGACGTTAAAACCCCGGATTTACACGATGAGATGTCTGAATGTGAGTCCAGCCTGGGACAGGAGCAGTTCTTAGGTTTACTGGTGAGTTCTGGTCAACAGGCTGGAATTTAAAACCTGCGGTACACTTTACAGTCTTACAACAGCATCGGAAATTCACTGGCTTAATTTTACTTTAAAATAACAGTGCAGGAAATTCATATGAGAACTCAACGCTAAATCTTTAAGATAATTTTTTGAAATTGGGCTTGGTTTCTCTGCCTGCAATCCCAGGTTCTCAGGAACTAGGGACAGAAAGATCAGAAATGCTCGGCTGTCCTGAGCAATCAATAGAGACTTCTCCCAAAATATGAAGTATAAAAATGGATGGGTAGAGAACTTAGGGGTAACGTACTTGTCTAGAATGAAGGAGGTTTTGGTTTTAATATGCAGTACTATAAATAAAGTCAAATGAATTTTAGACTCCCCAACTTAAAGTATGTGCTATAAATGGATCAGATTCCGCAGCGTGAAAACTACTGTGAGTGTGAACACTGGTGGTCAGTAGGTGGAAGGTGTGTCGGGAGCTTGGAGATGATTTAGAACCATTGTATCAGGGTAGATGTCCTTCCCTCTTCTGTTTACTTATAAAGAAACTCCCAGACTCCCTCCATCTGAGGATTTTTCCATCCATCTCTAAGTTCCCCTGTCATACATTCATTCATTAATCTGTTTAAGAAATGTAATTTTTGAGAGAGCTGACCCAGATGTCACCCAATTCTTCCTGCCTTTTCACAAACAAGGGCAAGAATTCTCCACAAGGTGTCCCTGAGCTCATGCTGCCTGCTCCTGCTCCTTTCTTAACTGGAGAGGCAGCTCCTGAGATCAGGATGGTGTGAGTGCGGATCCTGGCCTTCATCCCTGGTAGGATTTCTGTCTTCACTGGGTTTGGTTTACCTTGTTCACCTGTATCTTCTGTTACCCAGAGCTTCCCCTATGTGGTATTTTAATGTCATTGGCATCCACCTGGAACTTCCCTTAGTTACCCCAAGTCAGGGAGGGCTGTTTCCTGGATACAAAGCTATCAGAAATATGTTCCTGGGAATTAAAAAAATTGTTCATTGGAATCCAGAAACTATATAGCCATGGAGTATTGGGCCCTCATATTTTCTGAGGTGATTTAAGTTTTTTATTTTATGTGTGTGTGTGCCTGGTTGTCTGTGCACCACATGCACGCAGATGCCCTTGGAGGGCAGAAGAAGGTGTCAGATCACTTGGAGCTTGAGTTGCAGTCAGGTTGAGTTACATGATGTGGGTGCTGGAACTGAACCAGGGTCCTTGGCAAGAACAGCAAGGGCTCTTAACTACGAAACCATTGTTCCAACCCTTCTTAGGAACTTTTATCCCTGTACTGATCATGCCTAATGGTGGGAATGCCTTTGGGACAATTTTTTTTTTCTTTTTGGTCTTTTTGAGACAGGGTCTCCCTGTAGCTCCAGCTGGCCTGGACCTCACTATGTAGGCCAGGCTGGCCTTGAACTCACAGAGGTCTGCCTGCCTCTACCTCCCAAGTGCTGGGATTAAAGGCGTGCGCCACCACGCCGGGGTAAGGGACAAATTATTTTACCTAACCTTGTAACCCAAAAGTTAATCTTATATTTTGAGACCACTTAACACTACCTTAGCTTGTTTACAATAGTGAGCAAGCTTACTAGGCTGTGGGCTCCTCTTGTTATCTAAACATGTATGTATCTTAAATCTCTCATAACCTTTTCTTGCACTTGACCCAGAATAACTTATGTATATGTGTATGTATGTTGTGAAAATAGCTCTGCAAGCAGAATCTCTTCCTTTGAGACAACGAGAATTATTACTCTTGGGCTGGAGAGATAGCTCAGTGGTTAAGAGCACTGGCTACTCTTGCAGAAGACCTGGGTTCAAATCCCAGCACTCACATGGTGGCTAACAACCATCAGTAACTCCAGTTCTATGGGATCCAAGACCCTCTTCTGTCCTGCACAGGCATTGTACGACATAGGTGCACTTACATACATGCAGGCATAACACTCATACACATAAAATAAAATTTTTAAAAAAGAATTGTTCCTCTTGTGTTTCAAATAAGAGGTGGGATTAAATTGATAACACACCTGTTTCTGCTTGCTGTGCTGTTCTAGGTCAGTAGGCATCAGAAAGGGAAAATTCCATGATAGTGCAAATCCTTCCACGGTCTCCTTCCCCTTTTCTTACTGGAAATAAAGTTTCAATAAAGAGAGAGCCAGGTCTTTGTTCAAGAGCACAATTCAGGGTGTGAGCGGAAGGAACACGTTCTCTGATCAGTTCGGGTCCCACTCTTGGTTGAAACAGATGCTAAGAAGCCAGGCTGTTTTAATTCAAGCATCACCATAATGTGCCATCGTTTCACCGCCCCTGAGACCAAAGTGCACACCTCTGCCATGGTGGATAATGATTCACTAGGAAGATATTTATTTTCATTTTATACATATGCATGTTTTCCCTGCATGTCTGTAAGTGCATCCATGTAGTGAAATGCCCAGAGTGGCCAGAAGAGGGCAACAGATCCCCAGGAATAGGAGTTAAGGCTAATTGGTAGATGCCACGTGGGAACTGAACCTGGGTCCTCTCTGCTAGGGCAACCAGTGCACCAACCTGCTGAGCCGTCTCTCCAGCTCCCAGGAAACTCTTTCTGAGAAGACAAAGGGAAGATCACACTCAACTATTTTTTATCACCATAAGGAACTTGTGTTCTCTTTCTTGCTTTTTGTTCTTCCTTGTCATGACTGAGCCTGATTTTAGTTATTGTTTTGTGACATGAATACCAGTGTTTATAGGGCATTAGGCACAGAAGAATGAATTATAGAAACTCTGGTAAATTTGGAGACAATAATGACAGGCGAGTAGTATTTAGAATCCTGAGTGGTTTGGGAATGATTAATGCACTCCTTACTGCAAAAGATGTAGTCAGCTAATTGTGCAGCTGGTCATTTTTGTTTGTTATAACTTAATAAATTAGTATAGACCTTGAAAAATGACATACCGATAAGCTTGAGGCCGCTCTCCATCACCCTGAAGAGCCACACCCTGAGGTAGTCATGGTAACAGTCCAGCATGTATGCAGCAGACACCATCACTTTCAATAATGCTGATTTGACATATGAACAGAAGACATACCATTCATGAGGAAAGTCACATCACAGATAGACTGGAACTGGGAATACGGAAATATAAAATATTAATTAAAATTGAAATAAATGTACCATTTATGTACATTATGTACCATTAAACATCAAGAATTATAACTTCTATTTTGAGACATAATTTCAAAAATGCTGACTTCAAAGTCCCTGTGTCACTGGGGATGGCCTCCTGCTCCTGATCCTCTTGCCTCTTCCTCCTAGGTATTGAGACTATAGCCAGCACAACCATACCTGTTACTATGACTTTCTGTATTTGCTACTACTCTTTAAACATTTTTGTATTTATTTATTTTTATTTTATATGTATGAGTGTTTTGCCTGCCTGTATGTAAGTGCATCATGTGTGTGTAATGCTCAAGGAGGTCAGAAGAAAGCATTAGATCCCTTGGAACTGGAGTTATAGACAGTTGTTAGCCACCATGTAGGTGTTGGGAAATGGACTGCAGTCTTCTGCAGGAGCAGCCACTGCTCTTAACCACTGAGCAATCTCTCCTAAACAATTTTTTGGGTTTTTTTGAAACAGGGTCTCCCTGTAGCCCCAGCTGACCAGGAACTCACTATGTAGACCAGGCTGGCCTTGAACTCACAGAGATCCGCCTACCTCTGCCTCCCAAGTGCTGGGACTGCAGGGGTGCCCCATCACGCCTGGCTATCCTACCCATTTTTTAAATTTATTTTTTATTTCTGTGTATGTACATCCATGATCGTGTGTACACCACATGTGTACAGAACCCATCTTGTGTAGGAGGAACTGAACCTGAGTTCTCTGTGACAGCAGTAGGTACTCTTAACCACTGAGCAATCGCTCCAGCCCCTTGTTACCACTGTTCCTCTGATATCTGACAGGCCATTTACAGAAGGAAAGGCTTTTTGGGGGGTCACAGTTTGTGAGTACAACAATCATGGCAGGAAATGCTTGAAAGGATGAGCCTGAGGGGACACCGCCTCCTAAACAAGGAAGCAGAGAGGTAGGAATGCTGGTAATCGCGCCTATTGTTTTCTTCCTCTTTTATTCATTCTAGGATCCCAGGCCATGAAATGATGCTGCTCCTATTCAGGGTGGGTCCAGTCTAGATACTCCTTCACAGACCTGTCCAGAGTATTGTTTCCATGGTAATTCTCAATTCTGTATGATATACAAACAAGGTTGATTATCACAGCTTCACCCTTGGCTAACTAGACATCCAGGTATATCACTTGAAGTCATAACCTTCCAGTCTGGCCCCCTACAAGTCCCCTTTCATCTCCTAATAGCAAATACATTTGAGCCACTCTAAAAGTCCCCCATAGGCTCAACATTGATCCAGAGTCCAAAGTCTCTTGAATTTGAAATTGAAACATTTGTTTAACCCAAAGTCACTGAAAGATTATGACTGTCAAGCTGGAGTCCAAAGTCTCTTGAATTTGAAATTGAAACATTTGCTTAACCCGAAGTCACTAAAAGATTATGACTGCCAAGCCAGGTGTGGTGGCACATGCCTTTAATCCCAGCTCTTGGGAGGCAGAGGCAGGCAGATCTCTGTGAGTTCAAGGCCAGCCTGGTCTACATAGTGAGTTCCAGGCCAGCAGGGGCTACAAGGAGACACTGGTCTCAAAAGACCAAAAGAAAAAAAAAAGATAATGACTGCCAATATACAGTGGGACAGCAGAAACTTTCCTATTGCAAAAGGGAACAAGAGACATACAGT